CTCTTCATTATTCTTTTCCATGGAGCAGCCAGACCTTGTGACAACTTCGTCGTCGTCAACTTTCGCCATCCATGAAATTATCTCTTATTCCCCATTTTTTTTCTCGGCTTTGGTCAAAGTATCCGGATCGGATTGACCAAATCCGACACGCACCCCGCACCCGCGCCCGCACCAGTGTCGCGTCGAGACGGGTTCGGCCGCAAAAATGAAGAGTCCACGCAACATAGGTGAAGACAACTTCGAAAATATAACCTACGCTTGTATCGACTTAATTTTAACACAGTAGGAAATGAACAAACAAAAAAATAAAATAAAATCAAGACCCAAACAACAACCTTTTCAAATTATTTCGACAAGACACCTAGGTGACGCCGTGACGGAGCCATTAGGGGAAACAATCAAAAACAGGACACATTGGTCATTTGTATATGTATTTCATTTAGCAAGTACACTAATCAATTAAAGAGGAGCTGATAAATTAATATAACACTCCAAATTCTAGGTTGAAACAATGGTGATCATAGATGGTTAAGCAAAATAAATCATGCTTGACAAATAAATTCATGATTCAAACAACAGACCAGATTGCTTATAAACGATGAAAAACTACTTTCTAGCCTTAGATTCAACATCACGAGATCATATCCAGATTTTTTTCGAAGTAAGCTAGCAAGATAGAATGAACGAGTGGATAAACCAAAGCTTAGACAAGTATAAGATTTCAAACAGCCATGAACTCGAGTCAAATTTCAATCTGAAATCTAAACTTAAAACCGAAACAAAATTATATTTTTTAGGAATTACATAGTTGTGAATCTTAAATAAATTGAAATAGATTCTCATCAAAACAAACAGCTTTTGATAATGAGTCAAATAAACATCAAACATCCAGCTAAAAGAGATATTTTTAGATATTAGAACAGAAAGAGGTAAAGAGTTGTAACAAAGGATGAAGCAGGTGTTATCAATTAGAAAGGCTAAATTCTTACAATAATCTCTAAACATACTTGAAGCTTAAACATTATAAACAATGAATACACAAAGAAATATTGAATGTGAATTGAAAAATAGACAGTCAGCAAAATCTAGAAAAAAAACTGCTAATACACAAATTCAACGTAAAGCAAAGTAAAAATTGAGATAATAATACCTTTTTAGGATCAGTGTTTTGGGACGACGAATCGAAGACAACAAACCCTCAACCACGAGCAACTCAATCAGCCAAAAGAGAACTCAAAACAGACTAGACGAGTCGAAGATAACAAACCCTCCACCACGAACAACTGAAACAGCCAAAAGAGAACTCGAAAAAGACTTGGACGAGAAAAGTTTTCTCCAGAGCTAAGTATCCCTAATTTCAATGGCTGATATATATGGACAATAAATAAAGCTATGTAGGGTGCCGGAGATATCAAATTTCAAACCGAAAGAGCCGTTGCAGAGACTAATTCCAAATTGTAAAAGGACCGTTGGAAGAGGAGAGAATGAAGAGTGACGAAGGAAAGGGAGAGGAGCGTGGGGTTTGAGTGATTTCGGGCCTAAATTAGTAGTCCAAGTTTTGGGCTAAGTGTTGGTTGATCCAATTTAGAAGCAAAATCGAAGGACCAGTTCCTTGATATATTTTCATCCATAATTCGAATTCGTTGAATATAATAGGAGATGAATTGAAATAAACTAGGCCAGATTCTTGATGTGAACAAAGTAAAATAATTAGCTAATTTATTTAAAATAAAAATTAATTATATACTTACGATGTATTCTTTCCTAGTTGACACATCATTTTAATTAGCTAACTTCTTTTTAATAATAAATTCATTTATTGCATATCCATCATAATTATATACTCTAGGGGGAAATAATGGGAAAAGTTCATAACTAAGCAAACATAGCCGCTAGTATATCTATTCAATCTTAATATAGTTTAAAAACTGGAAAAGGGTCAAAAATACTCTTAAACAGTGGAAAATTCAGTAAAAATGTCCTCTAATAGTTTGGTCACAAATATTCATATTGCTAATTTTTTTTGGGTTTAGATGTCATTTTTCAGATAAACATATTGTTAAGATACAATAATCATAATGCATAATTCACAAACATTGTTACATTGCTTCAAATTCAAAATATGTTCAAAACATCATCAATGGGGGTTATTGTTGACCCTTTTTTTCATATTAACTTTAAAATCAGGGAATATATTAGCAAATGTTTATCCTATTGATGATGTAAAATCCAGGGAACACCCTGAGCTAAATTCTGGAGAAGAGCTAATTCATGTGAAAATACTACAATTACTGGCTATTCCTTTCAAATCTCCATAAGAATTCATGCAAAGTCATTTAAATAAATATAGAATCAAGTAGTAATCACAAGAATCAGTTTTGTAAAGAATCTGCATAGTTGGGCAAGAACTCTAGTTTCATAAAACAATAATAATCGAAAAAGGAGTCTGAAATTTTGGGCATAAGGGCAAGCGAAACCCTTAGTGAATACCCACATACCTGGTGAAGAAAACTACAAAGACATCCCTTGAATTTCGGGGCTGAACTTGAAAGAGAGCTCTGCTTATTCTGGAGAGAAAACTATCGCCCCTTTCTCTTCTTTTCTTTCTAAGTCTAATGATTTTAGGAGAATGAATGTGTTAGGCAGTTTTTTTGACTGATTACTTAGGCTTAGACGAAGTAAAACGACGTAGTTTAAGTATCAAACGCATAGGGGAAAAGACCAATACGACCCTGACTTAAAACTGACGAGGTGACTTAAAAGATGGGCTTCACGGGCCGTTAAAAGCATCACGACGCATCTAGTGGGTCGTGATGTTGCCCTGCCCGACAAGTCTTCAATAAAATGGGCATTACTTTTTACTCCTTGCTCAAAATTAGGAAAACTTGGTGGTGTTGGAAAGATGACTCAAAAACCTTTAATTTGATAGGTCATGGGCAACCTAATTCATTTTGTGCTGAGAGATATGATCGTTTGAAGTTGACACAAAATTTAAAAACTAGTGGATGACTTGTACGGACCCCTAGACGGGTCATCCAAGTCAACACGGTCCGTCTAAGGTGTCGTCTAGGTGACTATGGCCCAGGCAGTCCTACATGGTTGTTCATGATGCCCTAATGGGTCGAGGACCCCTAAACGGCCCCATCTAGAGTGCCGTGAAGGGTCCTCCATTTTGGGTTCATGGACCTGCCCGTTTATCCTTTTTAGCCCTTTCTCGAAGTCCGAGGTGTTACTATATCTAATCCCCAAACGATCACCATGTGGTCTACAAGCATGCATCCAAGCAAACAAAATCAAGTGCCATGATAAACATAAGAGCAACAAGAACACCAAAGTAGAGGAGCTCTTAGGGCCATAAGAAGATCTAAAATTGAGTTTGGGTTACTTCTTAGGTGTCTATAAAAATCAGGGATCTCATCATTTGGATCATCCAAGAAAATAAGCATCTAGACTAAAAACTTTATGGCTGCAGAGTACAACACACACTAGTGGAAATATTATCATTGTTGAGAACTTCCACGGTAATTTAGACAGAGAAAAGGGACCCACTGATTAGAAAGACAATTGAATTGAAGTCCATGTTCTGGAAGACCCAACAGTTACATGCACAAAATAAACGTAACTGGTAAGTGGAAACCATACCACGCAGGAGAGATCACTCGAGATGCCAAACAAGATAAGATTGCAAAGTTCCCTGTTGTTGATGCCTGGTGATATCCAATACCTAGATTGTAGTGCAATCACCAAAATGGTAAGAAACATGGTCCACAAGAATGCACACCGAAAAAACAACAACAAAATATCGTAATCTTATCCTCTTACTCCCACCATGTGGCCTACAAACATTCATCCAACCAAACTAAATCAATTGGTTGGCTAAGCGAAATAAGAAAAGCGAAGTAGCGAGAACACAAAAAGTAGAGGAATGCCTTACAGGGCAATCAAAAGATCCACGATTGAGTTCGAATACACTTATCATGTGTTGTCCATAACCATGGAGATCTCATCAGTTGGATCACCAAAGAACATAAGCATCTGGTTTATTAAAATATAAATATGGCTACAAAATACACACTAGTAAGGCAGTGTAGACAAGAGAGAAGGGAACCATTCTGATTAGGGAAGAAAACTGAATTGAAGATCTCAGTAATCATTAGAAACATCAATAGGGATGGCAATGGGGCAGAGAGGTTGAAGGGGGGGGAGGTAATAGTATTTGCGGGGCGGGGCGGGTTAGAGCTTTTGCGGGGCAAGTACAAAATATTTTTGAAAAGAAACATATGGGGCGGGGCGGTACGCGGGTTGGGGATGTTTCTTTTGAAACATAAATTAAGGGTAGATGTGTTGAGAGTTTCAGTGAAACAGAGGAGGCAACTGGCATATCTAACAAAGTCTAGTTCAAAGAAAGTTTTGATTTTTCTAGAGGAATCATTTGTTTTAATGTATGTCATAAGTATCATTAACTCATAGTTAATTATTAATTTCACTATTTACATACATGTCTATTTGCTGATATTTGATCCTAAAACATGGCTCTATGTACAAACTAGAGGCTAAAGCAGTGAATTGATGATAATTAAGGATTTGTACGTATACATTAGAGAGAAAAATAAGAAATAAGATGCATTCCTCCCTGGTTCAGCAAACTTAAATAACTCTTGAATAATTATACACAATTATTAAACTCTATGTATAAAAGAAATGGCAAAGATGGAAGACGACTTAAAAGTTAGTTCAGTTAATGACTATATATTCTACAATTTGTCTTAGAAATGAAGACACATATATTATTTCAATATTAACAGTAGATTGATAATTGTTACATTACTTTTAAACAAAAATTACGCAGGGTTCGTTTATGTGGGGCGGGTTCATGTTGGGCGGAACAAGGCGGAGCATAAACAAAAAAAGACCCAGCGGCTGCAAGCACATAAGGAATGGAACAGTAAGTGCAATGCTAGTGAACTAGGTACAACCTGGTAATTCATTAGAAATTCCAGACAAGATTGGGAACCGCCTTCATTCGAAGCCTGATAATCTCCAGATTGTAGTGCAAGCACCAACATGGCCAAGAAACAGGGTGCTAACTTGCACAATGATCTAATACGTAATGGCAAGGAAGATCTTTTACGCAGAAAAAAGAATATCTTTGTGATATATATAAATACATAAAGAGTGTACATGACCTGTCATACAAAGATGAGCAAGTTTTTCACTTGATCTGTTCTAGACTCAATGAATTGCAAAGACAGTTCAAATGGTGTTTATCAAGGAAAAAAGTGTGCAGGAGCTCTCTTTTTATATTAAAGTTATACATAATAGCTTACAGTCTGAAGCAACTTGTCAAATGATTGGATATCTGAAAATAATACACATGTTTCAAGGAAAAAAGAAGAAGATAGGGGAGAGATCTCCAAAAATAAAAAAGAGCGCTTTATTTACCTAACAACAATTAGTCTGAAAATAGTAGTGATTATGGCTTGTAGATACTGCACCCAATAATGAACCAGAAATTGAATGAAAATGACTATGTACTGTAACCACCATTGACATGCAAAATTTTCAGTTAAACTAACTGCTAGAAGAGCACCACTTTGAATAGAGAGTGGTTCAGAAAATATCATACTGATTAGAGAAGAGAACACTGAACTGAATACCAGACACTCACAGGAGCTTGAACCAAATGAAACCTCAACATAAATCAACAAACAAAGGCTGCCCCACAAAAAGAAGAAATTAAATCTTTAAAACCACAACTGCAAGCACAGAAAGAAGGACCAGTTAAGTGAAAAGCTGGCCACCGCAAACTGCTTGGGAAATCATGAGAAATGACGTAGATAATATTTAGAAATGCCCTTTTTCTCGAAGCACTAAAAAGATATCCAGATTGCAGTGCAAGCACCTAAACGACCAGCTTATTGAACTACCTTTAAAATTTCCAAATCATTAATATTTCGAAACCCCCTTTTTCTCGAAGGCCTAAAACGATATCAAGATTGCAGTGGAAGCACCTAAATAACCAGCATACTGAACACTAACCTTTAAAATTTCCAACTCTAATCCTCCAATACAGTTCACGATGTAGGGTATATACATCCTTCCAACACACAAAACTCAAACTGATGTGATAAGCAAAAAGAAAATGGACGCCACAAAGATGAGCAGCAAGAACACAAAAGATAGATGAGCATTTTTACTGGGCTGTGAAAAGATCCAGAACTGAGGGAGTACATACCAGATATCCACACCCATAAGAGGCCCTCACCAGTTGGATCATTGCAAAACATAATCATCTGGACTAAAAGCTGAAAATGCACTTGTGGAAAGAGTTATCGTAGTTGAAAACATCCATGTAACAACACTTTTGACAACGAAGTAAAGGACTCTTTATGTCCAGGGAAGAAAACTGAATCAAAGAGCTAGATACTAATACAATGCCTGAACTAAGAAACTTCAACACTACAAGAAACAAGGCTACTCCATGAAAGGGAGACTTCGCTAATCTTGAAAGACCTAACAACAACAAGTACAAAAAGAAGTTAACAGGTTAAGTGCTAGAAGCCAAACCCATACCACATAGAACAGATCACTAGAGATGCCAGACCCAACAATTCCCCTGCCAGTGCCTGGTGATTTCCAAATTGCAGTGCAAGCACAAGCACCAAAATGGAAAAAGAAATAGTGTGCACAAGGGAAGGACGAAACCATACTTCAAAATTACCAATTCAATCCCCCTCACGGTCACCATGTGATCTACAAACATGCATCTAACCAAACATAATTAAGTGTCATGATAAACATAAGAAAATAGAAGCAGAGAAGATAAGTACCAAGAACTTCGAAGTAGAGGAGCCCTTGGGAATATTGAGTCTGGGTACTTCTCAGGTGTCCATAACAATCAGGGATCTCATCATTTGGATCATCCAAGAAAATAAGCATCTAGAGTAAAAACTTTCATGGCTGCAGCGTACAATGCACACTAGTGGAACATATTATCATTGTTGAGAACTTCCACAAGAGAAAAGGGACCCACTGAATAGGAAGACAACTGAATTGAAGTCCATGCTCTGGAAAACCCAATGGTTACATGCACAAAAAGAACGTAACAGGTAAGTGGAAAACCATACCACGCAGGAAAGATCACTCGAGATGCCAAGCAAGATAAGATTGTAAAGTGCCCTGTTCTGGAGGAATGGTCAATCCAATATCCAAATTGCAGTGTAAGCACCAAAATGGCCAACATGGTCCACAGGGATGCACACTGAAACCAAACTACAAAATTTCCAAATCTTATCCTCTTACTACCCATGTTGCCTAAAAAAATTCATCCAACCAAACTAAATAAACAGGTAGGCAAAATGAAATCAGAGAATGTAAGTAGCGAGAACACGAAAACTAGAGAACAGTGTTACAGGACCATTAAAAGACCCATCAAAAGATCCACGACTGAGCTTGAATACACTTATCATGTGTTGTCCATAACCATGGAGATCTCAACAGTTGGATCACCAAAGAACATAAACATCTGGACTATTAAAAAACATGTATGGCAACAAAATACACACAAATGAAGCAGTGTTGATAAGGAAGAATGAAACCATACTGATTAGGGAAGAAAACTGAATTGATGATATCAATAATCATTAGAAGCATTGACCAAAAAACCTCACAAAATTGACAGACCACGCCGCTCCATGAAAAGAAGAATCTATGGTTCTGTAAGACCCAGCAGCTGCTAGCAGAGAAAGAATGGAACACTCTTAAGTGCAAAGCTGGTGAAAATCATACCACTTAGGAATTCACCACAAACGTCAGACAAGATTGAGAACCACCTTCTTTCGAAACCTGATAATCTCCAGATTGTAATGCAAGCACCAACATGGCCAAGAAAGAAGGTGCACAGAAATGCAAACTTGACACCAACCTTCAAAATCTTCCAAGTCATATTCCTCTCAACTGTCACCATACATACATCCAACAAACAAAATCAAGCAAGCATAATACAAGAAAAAGAAAGCACAAATGATGAGCAGCGAGAACACCAAAAGAGACTACCATTTTACGAGGCTTTCAAAAGATCCAAAATTGAGTACTTGTCAGATGTCCATGAGACAATAACCATCAACCATCAGGAATCTCATCATTGGATTATTGAAGAAAATAAGCATCTAGACTAAAAACTAAACATGGTAGTAGAACAACACATACTTATGAAAAAAAGAACTATTTTAGTTGAAAATGTCAAAACTCATAAAAGCTTGAGCCATGGAAACCTCGACATAAATGGACAAAGAAATCCGCGCCATGAAAAGAAAAATTGCTCTGTAAGACCCAATGGTTGCAAGCACAAAAAGAAGGGTCAATTAAGTCCAAAAGCTGACGAAACGCATACCATCTAAGAAACCACTAGAGATACCACATAGACAAGATTTAAAACCCCCTTTTGTTGAAGCCCTGAGAACCAAAAAGAACAAGAGGGTACTGAGATGCCATACTGGATATCAAACTTTGAAATCTCCAAATCTTAACCGTTATTACTGTAACCAATAGTTTACACATCCATCCAAACAAAAGAAAACAAGTTGTGATAACTAAAAGAAGATGGAAACAGAGAATATATATAGCTAGAAGACCAGAAGTAGAGCAGCCTTTATGGTACTGTCAAAAGAAAAGATCCAGAATTGGCTGAGTACTTATCATGCATCCATAGCCATAGAAAACCTCGTCAATTGGATCATCGAAGAACATAATGTCTGGATTAAAAACTTCATGGCAGCAAAACACAACACACACTGGTGAAAAATATTATCTTAGCCGAGAAACTTCCATACAACAGTACTTTCTATAGTATAACAGGAGCCATAAGAGAAGAAAACTGAATCGAAAATATCGATACTCATAAAAGACTTGAACTATAGAAACCTCAACACAAACAGACAAACACGACCACTCCATGAAAATAACAATTCATTGCAATGTAACCAATGATTGCAAGAACAGAAGAAGGGAATAGTTAAGTGCATATCTGACGAACCCCAAACCACCTAAGTAATCACTAGAAATGCCATAGACGACACTAAAAACACCCCTTTGTCAAAGCTCAGACAATATCCAGATTTGAATTATCCAAATCTGAACGTCCAAAAAAACCAAAAGATGGCAAAGAATCACATATTGGTAAACCAAGCTTTGAAATTGCAAAATTTGAACGTCCAAAACAATGTCACCACATGGTCCATTCAACCAGAAAAAACTTGTGTGATGACGAAAAATATATGGAAGCATAGAAGATAATAGAAGAAAAAAAGTAAAAAAGTACTTTTCGCCACTATCAGATGATCTAGAATTGGCTGAGTACTTATCAAGTGTCCATAGTCATAGGAGATGTCATTAATTGGATCATCGAAGAACAAAAGCATCTGGACTTAAAACTTTATGGCAGCAGATTACACACTCCGGTGAAAAATAATGTCGTATTTGAGAAACATCCATACAACAGTAGTTTTGACAAAGACAGAAGAGCCATTAGGAAACATATCTGAAACGAAATCTCAATATTCATAAAAGACTTTACTAAAAAAACCTCGACACAAACGGACAAACACAGCCGCTCCGTCAAAAGAATAATCCACTGCCTGTAAACCAATGGGTGCAAGAATAGAAAGAAGGGAACAATTGAGAGAAAATCTAACGAACAAACCACCTTTGGTCAAAACTCAAATAACATCAAGATTGTCGTGCAAGCATAAAAAAAAAGACAAAAGGTGGCAGAGGATCACATGTTGGTTAACCAAGCTTTGAAATTTCCAAATCTAACGTCCATAACAGTGTCACCACATGGTCTACACATCCATCCAACCAAAAATAACTATAACGAAAAAGAAATGGAAGTGGAGAAGATAAGTAGCTGCAATAATAAAACTGAAGAAGTATTTTACGCAACTATCAAAAGATCTACAATTGGCCGAGTACTTATCAAGTGTCGATAGCCATATGAGACCTCATCAATTGGATCATCGAAGAACATAAGTCGTATAGACTAAAAACCTCATGGCAGCAAACTACAACACATGCCGGAGAAAATTAATATCTTAGTTGAGAACTTCCATACAAGACCCTTAGTTATAAGGAAGAAAACTGAATCCATAATCTCGATACTCATAAAAGACTTAACTAAGAAACCTCAACACAAGCAGACAAACATGGCCGCTCCATGAAAACAAAAATTCACTTCCCTATAACCAATGGCTGCAAGAACAGAAAGTAGGGAACAGTTACGTCCAAATCCGACAAACCCCAAACCACCCAAGTAATCACTAGAGATTCCATAGATGAAAACTAAAAGACCCCTTTTGTAAAAGCTTGGACAATATCCAGATTGCATTGCAAGAACCAAAAAGACCAAAAGGTGGCAGAGGATCACCTGTTGATCAACCTCACTTTGAAATTCCCAAATCTGAACATCCATACCAGTATCACCACAAGATCTACACATCCATCCAACCAAAAAAAATAGTGTAACAATGACAAAGAAATGGAAGCAGAGAAGATAAGCAAGTAGCTACAAGAATATAACTGAACAAGTATCTTACACCACTATAAAGAGATTTAAAATTGGCCGAGTACTTATAGACAATTGGATCATCAAAGAACATAAGGCGCTTGGACTAAAAACCCTCATGCACAAAGAAGCCATTAGGGAAGAAAATTGAATCAAAAATCACAATACTAATAAAAGACGTGACTAAAGAAACTTCAACAACAAACAGACAAACACGACCTCTCGATAAAAAGAATAATTCACTGCCCTGTAACCAATGGCTGCAAGAACAGAAAGAAGGGAACAATCAAGTGCAAATCTGACGAACCCCTAACCACCTAAATGATCACTAGAGATGCCATAGATGAGAGTGAAAATCATCTTTTGTTGAAGCATGGACAATATCCAGATAGCAGGGCATGCACCAAAAAGACTAAAAGGTGGCAAAGGATCACATGTTGGTTAACCAAGCTATGAAATTTCCAAATCTAAACATCCATAACAGTGTCACCACAGGATCTACACATCCATCCAACCAAAAAAAAAAAAACTAGTGTGATAACAAAAAAGAAATGGAAGCAGAGAAGATAAGTAAGTAGCTACAAGAATAGAAGAGAAGAAGTATTTTATGCCACTATCAAAAGGTCTAGAATCGGCTGGTACTTTTCAAGTGTCCATAACCATAGGAAACCTATCAACTGGATCATTGAAGAACATAAGTGTCTGGACATAAAACTTCATGGCAGCAAATACAAAACATTCAGGTGGAAATTAATGTCTTATTTGAGAAACTTCCATACAACAATAGTTTTCACAAACACAAGGAGTCATTAGGCAAAAAAACTGAATCGAAAATCTGGATACTCAAAACAAGACTTAACCAAAGAAGCATCAACAACAAACGAACAAACACGACCTCTCCATGAAATGAATAATTCACTACCCTGTAACCAATAGCTGCAAGAATAGAAAGAAGGCAACAGTTAATTGCAAATCTAACGAACCCAAAACCACCTACGTAATCACTATAGATGCCATAGACAACTGAGAACCCCCTTTTGTCAAAGGGCACACAATATCCAGAATGCAGTGCAAGCACCAAAAAGACCAAAAAGTGGCAAGAGGATCACATGTTGGTTAACCAAACTTTGGAAGTTCCAAATTTCAACATCTATAACAGTGTTAACACATGGTCTACACATCCGTACAACCAAAAAAACTAGTGTGATAATTGAAAAAAATGGAAGCAGATAAGATAAGAAGTTAGAAGAACAAAAGTAAAGAAGTATTTTATGCAACTTTCAAAAGATCTAGAATAGGCCAAAGTACTTGTCAGGTCTCCAAATTCATAAAAGACCTCTTCAATTGGATCATCGAAGAATATAAGCGTGAGGACTTAGAACTTCATGGCAACAGAACACAACACATGGGTGAAAATAATGTCCTAATTGAGAAACTAACAGTAGTTTTGACAAAGACAAAGGAGTCATTAGAGAAGAAAACTGAATTGAAAATTCTCTCTACTCATAAAAGATTGAACTAACAAAACCTCATCACCTATGGACAAATAAGGTCACTCCATGAAAAGAAGAATCCACTGCTTCGTAAGACCCAATGACTGCAAGCAAAGGAATGAAGGAAAGAGTTACATGCAAAGCTGATGAAACCCACTACAAATTTCCACAAACAAGATTGAAAAACCCCTCTCTTGAAGCCTGAATATATTGAGATTGCAATGCAAGCACAGAAATGGCAAAGAAACAAATAGGAAAACCCCTCTATCAAACAAGATAGGAACTAACACTAACAGTCAAAGCCTGATCACATCATCAATCTTTGAAATTTTCCAAATCTGATCCTCTCAACTGTCATCCATCCAACAAACAAAATCAAGCTGGGGTGACGATGCGGCAAGAAACAGGAAGAAAGCAGAGAGAATACCAAAAGTGAGAGAGTAATAAAGACCCACTTGACGGGGCTGTCAAGAGATCCAGGATTTGAGTATTGAGTATTTACCATGTGTAGGACAATATACCTATCAACCACCAGGAATTTCATCAATTGGATCATCGAAGAACATAAGCATCTGGACAAAAACTAAAAAGGGTAGCAGAATACAACACAGACGAGTGCAAGAAAACCTATTTTACTTGGGAACTTCTATACAACAGAAATAAAGAGATAATCTCAATACTCATAAAAACCTGAAAAAAAGAAAGCTCAACACAAGTGGCCAAACAAATCCCCTCCATAAAAAGAATAATTCACTGCTATGCAATACCCAACTGCAAGCACAAAAAGAAGGGACCAGTTAAGTGCAAAGCTGAGATAATCCATATCACCTAAGAAATCACTAGAGATGCAAGAGACAAGATTGAAAACCCCAATTTTGGTCGAAGCCTAACAATTTCCATCTTGGAGTTGAAAGCAAAAAAAAAAAGGCCAAGAAACAAGGTGCACATGAATGGTTGTGACACATAAGTCTACAATAGGAGATCCAAGTAGGCATGCTTGGGGAGTTAAATTTCCAGTCCTAACAAGCAAAAAGCCACGAAGGTGTAGAGTCTTTGATCCTTTCAAGAATGTAATTATCTTTAATATTGAGGGCCAATTTAAAACCTTTATATAGTAGATTAAAAGGAAGAATAGTCTCATATGAAAATTCCCCAGTAAAAATGGATGTAGTTGTTCGTTGAATAATGAATACACTCTTGCTCATGAATCTTCTGTGTACTCATATCATGGATTAATCAAAAGGATTGCAATTATAAACTCTTACTATAATACACAAGAAAATGGGAACAAATAAATAAATAAACAATACATTAAAGGAAAGCAGTGATATGAATATTAGGTAACTGGTAGAAGGTAACAAGCATAGAAGGAGAATCATGAAATACACTGGAAGGTACCTATAATCATTCCCCTAGCATTATTACTCATACCTGATCAAACAAACAACAATAACAAATCAATAAATTGGCCAAAAAAAAAAGTCAAGAACTCCCAAAACCTCCAACATTCCATTCCTCCTCCGACCTTTTGTCTACAGAGATGATCAAAGATTTTAAAATCAGAAACCTACACCCCATATTAAAAGATTCAAAAGTCACGAAAGTAGGTAACTTGAAATTTATATAATTCTGAGATAGCCCAAAAATCAAAAACCAAACCGATCTCTCCCCAAAGGAATATACAATAATTACCCGTATCTTGATCATAATAATTACCCGTATCTTGATCATCATACAATAATTACCCAGTATCTTGATCATACAATAATTACCCAGTATCTTGATCATACAATAATTACCCAGTATCTTGATCATACAATAATTACCCATGTATTGATCAACAACAATTACCCATATCTTGATCAAACAATAGTTACCCAATATTATGATCAACAATAATCACCCAATATCTTGATCAATAACAATTACATGTATCTTGATCAAACAATAATTACCCAGTATTATGATTAACAATAAAACACTGGCAATATCCTCAAAGATACCAATGAAATAAAAGAAAAACAAAGCAAAATGAACAGGGATGGAATAACTACCCATATCTTGATCAAACAATAATAATTACCGATCATCTTGATCATACCAATTGTTACCCATATCTTGATCAAACAATAATAATTACCCATCATCTTGATCATACCAATAGTTACCCGTATCTTGATCAAACAATAATAATTACCCATCATACTTGATCATACCAATAGTTACCCATAATCTTGATACAACAATAACTATCCATAGCAACAATCCAACACTGATTATATCCTCAAGATACCAATGAAAGAACACCTAATAATAGTAAAACTAGAGAACTAAAGCCAAAACAAACCGGGACTGAAAAACTGGCTTCGTAACAAGTCTATTAATAGGATTGAGGGGAACCATTCTGATTAGGGTACAAAACTGAATTGAAGATCTCAATAATCATTAGAGAATCAAACAATAAACCTTCAACACGAAATTGAATGACCATGCCGTTCCATGAAAAGAAGAATCTATCGCTCTGTAAGAACCAACAACTGCAACCACAAAAAGAATGGAACAATTTAAATGCAAATCTGGTGACGACCATACCACCTTGGAATTGACTACAATTGCCAGACAAAATTGAGAACCACCTTCTTTCAAAGATTTTGATAATCTCCCGATTGTAGTGCTTGCACCAACATGGCGAAGAAATAGGGTGCATAGAAATGCACACAAGACACCAAACCTTCAAAATTACCAAGTCTTATTCCTCTAAACTGTCACCATATATCCACATTCAAAAAACAAAATCAAGCTACTATAATACAAGAAAAAAGAAGAAGAGAAGATGAGCATCAAGAACACCAAAACAGAGGACCATTTATGAGGTTTTCAAAAGATCCAACATTCAGTACTTCTCAGGTGTCCATGAGACCATAACCATCAACCATCAAGAATGTCATCAATTGGATCATCAAAGAAAATAAGCATCTAGACTAAACACTTAATATGGCTGTAGAATACAACACACTAACGGGAAAAAAAACTATTTTAGTTAAAAATGTCAGAACTCATAAAAGCCTAAACCGCGGAAACCTCGTTATAAATGGACAAAGAAAGTTGCTCCATTAAAAGAATAATTCAATGCTCTATAAGACCTAATGGTTGCAGACTGCAAGCACAAAAGGAAGGGTACAATCAAGTCCAAAGCTGACGATACCCATACCATCTACGAAGTCACTAGAGACACCATATAGACAAGATTTAAACCTCCCCCCCCCCCCCTCCTTTTTCTTTGAAGCCCTGACCAATATATCCAAATTGCAGCTCAAGAACCAAAAAGACCAAGAGGGTGTAGAGATACCATACTGGATATCAACCTTTGAAATCTCCAAATCTTAACCTCTATTACTGTCACCATATAGTCTACACATCCATCCAAACAAAAAACACATGTGATAACCAAAATATTTGTAGCTAGAAGACCAGATGTAGGGGAGCATTTATGTCGCTGTCAAAAGAAAATATCCACAATTTGGCTCAAGTACTTATCAAGTGTCCATAGCCATGGGAGACCTCATCAATTGGATCATCGAAGAACATATTGTCTGGATGAAAAACATCACGGCAGTAGAACAACAACACACACTAGTGAAAACTACGATCTTCCAGAAACTTCCGAAGAAAATTGAATCGGAAGTTTTAATAATCTTACAAACTTGAACTAAAGAAACCTCAACACAAACGAACAAACACGACCACTCCATGGAAAGAATAATTCACTGCCCTGTAACCAATGGCTGCATGATCAGAAAGAAGGGAACAGTTAAGAGCAAATCTGACAAACTCCAAATCAGCTAAGTAATCACTAGAGATGGCCATACACGAGACTGAAAACCCCCTTTTGTCGATGCCCGGACAATATCCAGATTGATGTGTAAGCACCAAAAAGACCAAAAGGTGGAAGAGGATCACATGTTGGTAAACCAAGCTTTGAAATTTCCAAATCTGAACGTCCATGACAGTGCCACCACACTGCTTACTACAGATCCATCCAGCCAAGAAAAAACAGTGTGGTAACAAAAAATATATGGAAGCAGAGAAGATAAGTAGCTAGAAAATAAAAGTGAAGCAGTAGTATTTTACCCCACTATCAAATGAGATCTAGAATTGGCCGAGTACTTATCAAGTGTCCATAGCCATAGAAGACCTCATCAATTGGATGATCGAAGAACATAAGCATCATAAGCATCTGGACTAAACTTCTGTCACGACCCAAATCACAAGTCGTGATGGCACCTAAATTCCCAACCAATAGGTAAGCCAACCCAGTAAGGTAACCAATTCAACTTAAAAAGTGGAAAAGTAAGTAGCAATCAAATATCTTAAATACTAAGTCATTTAAATAAATTGCGGAAAAACTGAAATTCCACCCTAAGATGTACTTTTAAAAGTCCATACAAAAATTTCTGACAAGTCTAGACATAAGAAATATCCTATCGGAATACCAAATCAACCTAATAGATAGAGATAGAGAAAGGTGTGGGCCGCATAATATCCAAGCAGCTCACCAAAACTCCAAGAAATGTGCTCGAATTTGAATCCAATCTACACCACAAAAGAGTGTGGCAAGTGTAGTATGAGTACGAAATCACGTGTACCCACTATATCTCATAGACCGACAACAAAGAAGTAGTGACAGGAGTATATAAGAAAACCATCCTTTAATTTCACAAGTCTACATTATACTTATCAACCAAGTTTTCATCATTAGAGATAATCAAATATCACGTAATATCCAACATCAATAAAGCACATACTCAAACAAGAATGAAGGATGTAATGAGATGTAATGCAATGTGACACCATGAAATAATATGCCTCAGATGCCAATTACTCTCTCAACCGTATATACATGATACTCCTCGGAAACACATCGAGAGTTCATGACCCTTGGGGGACTCGCGAGGTCCATATACCGACACAGACAATCTCCACGTGTTTGTGCGGACGATCTCAACGCACTATCATAAAATCAAACAATCCCCGACACGAATGATCTCCACGTGCCCAACTTATAGTAATAAAATCTCACAATCCCCATCACAGACGATCTCCCCATGCCCAACTTATACTCAATCTCAAGTCAATGCATGTGCACAATATGATTTCAATAAAAGGGGATGATGATGCATCTCAATCAACCAAATACTGGTATGATATATAATCACCTCAATTATCACAAATATACGGGTTCAATAAAGAAACACAAAAACACAAAAAAACCAAGTCAATAATACACCAGCTAATGCCCATATGCTTTGATATTCTCAGATTACAATATGTCAATCTATAGTAATAAACTTTCCCTTTATAATGTCCGCCATACCATTAGTACGAGACTCCCATCTTTCGCCCTTAGCCATTGTCTATTCCATTTTTTCTCTTTAATTAGAAAAACTTCCTTCAATGAAGTATGAAAGTCTTAACATACCTTAAGTGCAGAACACGTGTCACGAATCGTCTAGATTTTTCCTTTCCCTTTCGTAAAGCTTCAAAATGTTCCCAATCTAGAAAATATGCAATATTCATAAACAAATGAGTTTGTAGACACATATATTACTATATGTCTAGCCTAGACCCAAAACTCACCTAAATCTATAATTAAATTCATTAATCTTGGTGCCAACTAAATATGTCAAGTCTTATATTCCTAAATATTAAGCCAAGGGTTAAGTGTCAATTTATCAAAATATTATAAATCTAATGGTATTCATATAATAGTTGTCTTAATATGACAAAACTTGATTTGTTATTGATAACCCTAAGAAATTTTCCAACTCAAACCAGATTAAGCCATCACTAACCTTCGGTAACAAAAATCAATATGCAACAGACTATTATTATACAAAAATGCAACATATTGTTACATCATTCCAAATGATTAACTCAACATGTCCATTATTAATTCCTCTTCAATATTGTAATCAACACATAAATTGATGAATATAAATTGATTTGCCCACTATTTTTGGCCAGCAGCTTTTGGAACATCAATAACTCAATGGCTTTGTTTCTTCTTCCAAAAAAATATATATTATTATACTAATTAATGTAAATGAAGCATCTTACAATTTCATATACACATGGAGGAAGTTGGAGATTTAATGTGTTGTTACCTGGAAGAGAATGTCGCTCTTGAATACTGCCGCGACATCTTTTTGAGCATAACTTATTAATTGTTAAATTCCATTTAATTTATTTCAATACATAGGTTAAATTGAATAGAGTATTAAATTATGGACTTGACCTATTAACACCAACTAATTTAATTATTTAACAAATACCCATCAACTAATTCACCGTAGTTAAACGAATAGTTCAAAATTTTCATTTAAACTATACGAAAAAAGGTCTTTTATGAAAGAAAGAGTTAACGGGTCATTACAACTTCATGACAGCATATACGATACACGCCAGTGAAAAATAATGTCCTCGTGAGAAACTTCCATACAACACTAGTTTTGACAAAGATCCGATAAAGACAAAGGGCCATTTAGGGAAGAAAATTGAAACGAAAATCTCCATACTCATATAAAATGACTAAAGAAACCTCAACGCAAACGTACAAAAACACGGCCACTCCATGAAAAGAAGAATTCACGGCCCTGTAAGCAATGGCTGCAAGAACAGAAGGAAGGGAATAGTTCAGAGCAA